AGATGGCATAACAAGGCTCGATTCGTGGGGAATCCCGGGGGAAGTGCTAAAGCCGTGACAGATACGACAAGCGTGACCGTGACAGACGCGATATGAGTATAATCACATGTCAATCCGCATTCGAAGTATATCAACCCCTTGCGCTTCCATTTCTTTTCCATTCCCTTCTTGCACGCCTACGAGTAACCTCGCAGTCACATTCATAATGGCATCAACCGCGCAACAACAGTCCAAAGTCCCTGAAATCACGGTTTTAAATCGTGTTGTTTCTATTCCCTTAATTGCGTCTTCACTTGAACAGATAAATTTCATCCTTGAGAAAAACACGCTCACCCGCTCTCCATACCACGCAGCTCAAGCAATCACCAACACCGCCTATAACTACTCGCAGCCTATTCAGATTCGTCTGGCCCCGCTCCTCGTCCGTGCAGACGGTATCGCCAACAAGGGTCTCGATGCAGTTGAGTCGAGATACCCTTATCCGTTCCAGGCCAAGCCCGAGGAAGTGGCCAGTTACGTGCGTGAAACTGCGGGAAAGACATTTGAGAATGTCAAAACCCCTGCAGTTGGCGTTGCAGAGGGTATCGACAAGGTGGGGACCACGTGACTTATAACCCCTGTTACACGATTGACATGAGTTTTCAGAAATTTGCACCGGTCGTTGACTACATCGAGAAAATCACTGGAAATATTTCCAATGAATCGGGTGCTTCTTCGCCCTCGTCTGTATCTTCCGACTCTCAATACCAGTATCAGCGCGCGATCAACGTTTCCAAGCACCTCAAGGACCATCTCTACGTCTATTCATCAGAGCACCTCAAGCAAGTACAGCAGCAAAGTGTCCTAGTGTGAGATACCCTCTTTTTAGCGCATATATGCGTTGATTCTGACCAATCATCCCTCAGTCAACGAGCAACCGACACCGCTAATTCTATCTCTGCTCTCGCCTCCAACCAGTTCAATAATGCTCAAAATGCCTTCTATGGTGTTGCTCACAACTTGCTCTCCGAGATGCAGAAAATACAGCATTCTACCGCTCAGCTCCCTCAGACCATACAGGCTACATATCCTGATATCTCCAAAACCGTCGCAGACTTACACGATATAATCACGAATCCTTCTCTCCCTGTCCCCGAGAAGCTCAATCGCGTGGGCAGAGAGGTCAAAGAGCGCGTGTCTCCATTGCTTGAAAAGCTCACTCAGCGGATAGGCGAGATCATTAACGTCCTTGGGTCGAAGGCAGAAGAAGCCAAGCACACCGCTGAGGGGAATGCCAATGGGCTTTCCTCAGCGTCTGGCGCAGATTCCTGATGGATCCCAAACTTCCCCTTCATCATGTTCTCTCGTTGTCGTCGTGGCTCATAGAAGTTTGAATAGAGTAGAGATTTCGTTCCTCCATGCACTATTGTTCATATGCATTCATTGTCGTATTCTTCCTTTCACCTTGTAGTTGTATTTGAAGCTTTCATGCTCTCTTTTTCGATCAGGCAATGGTGGATAATTTGTACATTAAACTGTTTGTTAGTGCAGTGACGCAGGTCATAATAAGAGGAGTAACCTCGCTAAAGGTCGAACGACCCTTCACATAAAGAGTCCCGAGTTAAGCGTTGAACGTTTGAATGTACTGTTGAAGCACTCCAAGTAGACTCCATCACGTCACATCGCAGCTTCTGCAGCTCTAAGAGCAACTTTGAAACCTTCCAAAAGTCCCTGCCTTTCTTCCATCCCAACACTAATCCTCACCAAGCCCTCTTCCACACCGTACTCCGCTGCCCATCCAAGTTCGAAATAATGCGCTAAAATGGTATATGGACACGCGAGCGTAAAGTTCGTTCCGAGACTCGGGCCCTTCTGGAATGGCATGTTATCGAAGAAAGCCTGCGAAGCAGCAAGCGAGGTGAACGTGAGTGAAAATAGCCCTCCATATCCTCCCTCCGGGAGCTTGCACGAGAGGTAGTTTTCAGTCGTGATATATTTTGGGTAGAAGACCTCTTTAATGACGGGGGATGGTATGGATGTTCCACCTGCGATGGATCTCGATCGTAAGAAGTCGCAAACGGCGAGCGTGTTCTCATCGATGATGCGAATGCGCCATGCAAAGTTTCGGGAGTTGCGCTCCATGAAGATTGCGTCTTCATCAAAGTATGTGTCTTCATAGGTAGCAGACATGTGTGCTTTGAGCGTGGCGTAGTGGCGGCTTTGAGGATTGAGAATTAAACTGAGTGGTAGCAAGTATGAGATCAAGCTTCCGAGGATGGCAAGATACCTACCTTCCGCCCATAGTGTTTGCGTCGCCGCTAAAAATCTTGGACAAGCTGCTCACAACGACGTCTGCATGTTGCAGCACATCGACATTGACGAAGTTTCCGATGGTCTCATCTATGACGATCACGAAATTATATTTATCTGCAAGGGCACGGAGGACGGAGATGTCAGCTGAGCGAAGGAGAGGATTTGACGGGAACTCTGTAAAAAGAGCTGTAATAGGCAGCGCGGAAGGGTTCGCGGAAAGTTCCTGCTTGATAATTGTCTCTAGCGCGTCTATGTCAGAGTCAAGACCGTGTCCGAGGAAGTGACAACCAGGACCCCATTTTTGAAGAATTTTTAGGGTATCAGTGTATGTAAATCTAAGAGACTATCAGCACGTATCTCGATGCAACTTTTTTTTAAAATGTACCCAAAGCACACGCTCTTGACCGGTGGCCGTGTACCTAGAATCAATTGATGGGCATTCCAAATTGCAGACATGCCAGTTGGGAATAGGTATACATCATCCTCAGTCACATCCTTCACGCCTCTGTGGCTGGGTCCCACTTCGACATCGTGTGCGCCTGCACATGGACCATTCGGACAGTCTTCCCAATTGTCTCTAACGAGCACACCAGCAATTCGTCTGCGCATAGCCCGCTTTGCATGAGAACCTGCATTAACTGGGAGGTTTCTCCCGTATCGTTCTTCAAGATAGATGTTTTGGTCTTTACTGAGTTCCTCTTGCGGGTTCGAACTGAGTGGAAGAGCCAATCCGAAGGACGATGATTGTGGGGCGCGCTTGACGCTATAGTGTTTGTTCAGCATCTTGAATGGAGTACGGGGAGACGTTGACGAGAGCACCGGAGAATTTGGTGATTCAGCCGGGAGAAGGGAGAGACAGTAGTCCGCGAGGCGGGAGGAGATACCGAGACCTGTATGCTGCCAGAATTGTTTTGCGAAAGGCCATGCATCTGCAGGGAATAGAACGATGTGTAGCTCTACAGTGTGTTGTGTAGATGGCACGGGAGTGTCCTCAGGATAAATGCGATATTGCACGAGCCGCGCGTGCGTTGGTGTGCCTGCTAATGATGCTCGGTCAAGCATAAAAGATCGACACTGATCTGCGATCTTCTTGGATGGGTATAGCATGCATTTTTCGTTGGCCGCCCCAAATTTTAGCTCGCATATCCGGGCAAGCTTCCAATTAATGGGTTAGGGATATTCTATTTAATTTGGCTTGGAACAAACACATACCTTTTCGATGCGTAGATGGATAAAGAACCTTGGGTATCCGGACACCATGGCATCAACAACTCGCTTTTCTCCTTCCTCATATCCCACATTGTCCGCCCATGTAGGAAGTGAAACAGATATCGCATGCTGAGTGAAAGGTGGTACTGCAGATCCAAGTGGATAGTTGCTTGGGGTAGTCATAATATTAATCGCGGGGTAGAAGTGAATATCTGATATTTGCGATGCCTAAGGATTATTTCTAGCAAAGACCGGCGCTTGCATCAATTCAGTCGCGTGTTCAGCTAAATGACTCGCGATGCAATTCTTTACCCGATACGACCCCCGCAAGCTTACTAAGCCGGACAGTATTCGGGTTTTCATTCGGTTGCATCACTCGGTGCGGATGAGCGATGCTTCGTCACTAATTTTAAAGTCCTGAGCTACTGCAGTCGCAAGGTCATGCTCAATATCTGCTTCTCAAGCATATCAGATGATTACTACGAACACCACCTCAAAAGAGTCACTTACACGGTTTATTGCCGCTGGATATTATTGTGGCAAGTCTTCCAATTGGATCACGCCCCCCACAGTACACGAGATCCCATCAGATGACGACTGTTCAAACTTCTGTGTCAACCTCGCGTCCATTGTTACGGATACGCAGGCTCTCCTGATTGCCTTATCCATTTTTCGAAGCAACATTGCCCACCGTGACTCGAAGGGCAAATACTACCGTTGTTCATGTGCTGAATTGGTGTTTGGATCAAGTACCCAGTTTTGATTCGCGTTCGACGAAGGAAAAGGTGGGCTCTATGACAGGATTAATCGGATATTATCCGCAGTGCTCGTTGAGTTGTGGGTATGCAGATCGAGGGCGAGGGACGCGTACTGCGATGCCTGTGTTGTCCAGCTTGGGGTGGCGGCCTGTACCCCAGTTTCATAATCGGACCTCGGGCATGATTTGGAACGAGATACACCACATGCAAATTTGTAGAAGCATCAAGCTAAGATTCAACTTTGCAACATTGTGGTGTAATGTCACCTATAATTGCGCAATTTCTTAATAATCAGACGTCATACCGCAGGTGCCAGGCACGCAGGACGAACCCCACGGGTGCTACCTCAATTGCTTCCTTGATTTGCGATTTAGCCAGCGTCTCCTTTGGTGGGCTTTCTCATACCTTCGTGCCTCACCTCAGTAAGCACCTGATGCATTCTGCTCCCTTGGTCAAGTTGCGTATGTCGCGGCTAGGTTTGAGTTCTTGGTGCATCCTGCACTCGGGCACCTGGGGACCTCAAGATTACTAGGATATATGTGCCCTGCCCATCTACAGCGCGGTGACATTTGCTGGTCCTTGACTTGCTAGACATCCATCTTCTCCATGAACACTTTGCTGTGGCGTTGTGTCGAAGTTCGTAGCTCCCGTTGGGACTCCCCAGTGGTGGCGGCAGTGCCTATCCTTCATGTTCTCGTCAATACTCGAAGTCATGAATACGAGTGACCTAAAAATGACATACAGTGGTACAAGTATAATGTACAACGAATGGTACAACAAAAATAGCCCATCAAAATTCCAAAACAATATCACCCTCATCCAACATCGAGACGTCATGGCGGATTACTAACAGTTCTCGTCATCAAAAACCCAGTGACCGTATGTGCCATAATCCTGAAAGGAATCAACAAATCGTGCCGCAATTGGTGTGACTGAGCAGCGAACCTTTTGGAAACAGATTTCTGCCCCCATGAAATGCATCCCGAGGAAGCTTGCAGGAGTGGTAGCACAGAACTCCTTCCAATCAGCTCCCGACGGAAGGTTCTCGAGGTAATGTTCAATACGCTGCATACCGTCAACCTTCGCTCACTACATTGTGTCTGAGAAACTCACTCGCTGACCGGATCCAGGAGAAATACAGCCCTGCGACAATGGATAAGTTGCAAATATGCCGACGAGAGGGATCGACAAACAATATCTTTGTACCAGAGCCAGTACGATGCGCAATCCGGCTCATGCTGGTCGACTTCCCAATGACCTATTACATCGTTTGGACCCTGCACACGCAACATCAGCTACTTGTACTACCAAGAAACAAAGGAACACCCACATAGTCCTCGCACCACTTAGGCATGTATTCAACCCCATGGATCTTTACCGGTGTGGCCATACAAGCCTCCACACGGCGGTCGTAATATGATGGAACGTTCACCAGTCGGGCAGTGTACTCTCGAGTGGCATATGATGTGCACGTTTGAGAAGCCAAGTCAGTCCAAAACATATTCAATCTCAGGCGTTCTTCTTCTTCGTGTTTCCGTCTCTCCTCCACTTTACGCTCGTGTTCTTCCACTTCCCTGTTCCATTTTTCGCGGAGAAGCATTCTGTCTTGGTCTTCGCGCCTCTGTCTCTCCTCCATGTCGTGTTTGTGTTCTTCCACTTCCTTGCCCCATTTTTCGCGGAGAAGAATGTTGTCTTGCTCTTCGCGCTTGCGTCTTTCCTCCACGTCGTGTTTGTGCTCTTCTACTTCCCTGCTCCATTTTTCGCGGAGAAGAATGTTGTCTTGCTCTTCGCGCCTCCGCCTCTCCTCCATGTCGTGTTTTTGCTCTTCTACTTCTGTTTGCCATTGTTTGCGGAGACGAATCCTGTTGTCATCTTCCAGAAGCCAGCGTGTTTTGGTGTAATTGTGCTCGAGAACTTCTTTCTGGTGCTGGCGAAGTTCAATGTCCCAGTCCTTGCGAATGCGGTCTCGAACATCCGGATCTAAGGGGTCCTTGTGAAAAATAATGGGGGAATTGACAATCGTGAATGTAATAAAAAAGAGAGCGATTGCTACATAGACACAGAAAGATTGATAGCGACGATAAGGCTTGCGAGGCCCTATCAGAGGGTCTGCCTCTGATGAGCTGCAAGGCTTGTCGTCACCCATCAGGTATTAATATATTAACGAGGCTTACACACCGAGAATGGTAAGGTGGGGGCCCTGGTGAGGAACTGCCCATTCTCATCAGTATCGATGACAAGAGTATTCAAGATGGTACTTCACTTGTTATCCTGCCACATGTTGGGAAATATCTGGCGAATAGTTGTTGATTATCAAATGTTTGCAGAAGAATCAAGCATTTACAAACCTCTCTCTCAGACATGCATGCATGAAGATCTACCAGAGATTTGACAAATTGTACCGTTGTTGGACCTAGAGGAAGGTTCATGGGCGGATTCAGTCGGAGTCGCGGAGTTGATACCTAATTAATCGTTGTATAACCTCAACCCGCCACGATGCATTGACTCGGATGTGCCCCATGCAGGGTTATCACTGTTGCTGATTTTGGAAATAAAAACGACGTTGAACTGGTCGAACGTCGAGCGTGCCTATGGCCAGGAATACAGGTTTTCACTCAATGAGTGTTCTTATGTAAGTTAAGATTTCAAATCATTTAATTCTAAATCTTGTGCAGCTGATCAATGTACAGCTTTAGGGTGAAAGTTGTCAGTGCCACGCCGAGGCGTAACAAGAGTTTTGCAGACTAGCATGACACCACATCACATCATCCTAAAAATCACTAAAAAAAATTGGGTTCTTGTAGAGGAGATATGGGTCTATTATGGGACAAAATTTTCGAAGGAAGACATGATGTGGTTGAGGAGCTACAAAGCTTTTGCATATCCCAGGGAATAGGTATAGTAATATTACATAATAATTAATAATTGAAAGGACGAGACTTCGAATCGCTAAAAAAATTCCGCTCAGCTTGGTCTTCATCCAAACTATTTGCCACCTTATCATCATCACATGTACAGGCCCTGAATTGAAAATCTCGATTCGCGACCTTAACTTGGCCGCTATAGATAAGGCTGAGTGAATCGAGACATACCCGTAAGTCCTAGCAGCCGTACGTTTGACAGGATAGGCTAGGTTACTAGACTAACAAACGGATACAGATGTTGTGAAACACATAATTGCCCTGGTCGCAGACGGCCTCCAACTCCAACGGATCACCGATCATCGCCTATCGTGATTGACTATTCGCGGAGAATTCATGACCAATCGGAAAAGGTTGGCTAGTCTTTCTTCCAAGAATATCGGGCAACTGTACTGGCAAAATCTACGAAGAACTGGTCGAGGCAGAGGGTAAGATATCGTCGGTAGTGCCATATGATTATCAAGACAAAGATCCATGCATAAGAACATGTGTGGTTACCACCTGTGAGCATGGTCGCGGAGTTACGATAACACCTCACCGGCTTTCATGAAAGCGTCGTTGGGGATCAGATTGGCTTTAGCGTGCTTTTCCTTTGAAAGGTGGAGTGGCGTTGGTGCAGTGACTTCACGACGCAGCTAATTGAACTTGTTCCCAAACTGGCGGTGTCACTAGCGGTGATACGCTGGATATATGCACCACGCTGTGCAGATCCGATCATCATATCGATCCATGGGCCAAGGCCATTCAGTTATGTACACTGCAGTACTAGACTAAGCTCGTGCTATCGTCCTAGCTCCCGATCGGTCTGTCTCACGGGACTCAATAATATTTGCGAGCACATTGTCATCCGATTTCCCGGCTCTCCCAGGCTCCTCGGCGACTTTTCATGTTGCTACAAGCTAGTCCTGTGCTGACATATGCTAACACATCGTAGGACTCCACGAGCGATTATTGACTTGAAAATAGTCCCACCCAGTGATCTGAGCGGTGCATCCTACGACGACATATCCGAGTCTAGCTACTACAGTATTACGGTATTGCGTAAGCTCACCGCAGTGCTGCTCGATTGTGGTACCGACTTCGTACTATATAAGCTCGGACCTCCAAGGAGATCCGCATTCAATATCCTAGACACCTTATCGTATCCTCATACAATTTCAGAACTTAGACTCATCTCGCAATGGCACCCATCGCAGTCGCTTCTACTACAACCACTGAATTCTTCACCAACCTCAAGACATCCATCGTCTCCCCACAACCTAATACTCTCCACGACGTCATCGCTCAAGCTGTCGACCGTTATCCATCCCACGAGCTTGGTTTCATAACCTCATCAGCACATGACTCCTCCATTCAGACAAAAACCTTCAGCACCTTCAACCAATATGTTCGCAACCTCGCACGTGCCATGCTAGAGTGGGGCAAGCCCACGGGCTCAATCGTCGTCGTGTACCTGACGGAGCACGAAGATAATATGGCTGCTGTATGGGCATGTTTGCTGGCTGGCTATGTGCCTTGCTTGCAGCCTGCACTTAGCGCGCAACAGGCGCACAAGGAGGGCCATGTCGCCCACATCAAGAACTTGTTTGGGTCTGCTATTTGGTTGACCAATGAACTTGGGGCCGAGCAGATTAGCACCATTTCTGGTCTGGAGGTACACTTGCTCTCCGAATTAAAGGCGTCGGCGGACACATTCAGCGTCTCAGTTGACTGGGTTGCATACGAAGCCAAGGCAGACGACGAGGCGATCCTGTTCTTGACCTCAGGGTCGACCGGATTCTCCAAGGCTGTCGTGCACACGCACCGCACGATTATTGCTGCATGCCGTGCAAAGGGCCAAAGTTACGGCCTGACTTCCGAATCTCGAGTCTTGAACTGTAAGACACGCGTTATTTAACCTTTATCCTCAAATTGATCATGACTTTCAGGGGTCGGATTTGATCACGTCGCAGGATCGTTGGAAATGCACATCACGCCTTTGCTATATGGCGCTTCGCAACTCCACGTGCACGCGTCTGCTATCCTTGCTGATCCTCTCCGGCTGCTCCGTTTGATCGATGAAGAGGTATGTCCGTATGAAATTATAGCCAAACGCATCTCTGATGATTCAATCATTAGTCGATTGAACTGAGTTTCGCCCCGAACTTCTTGCTATCCAAGCTCACGCGCGATCTGGAAAAGCGCACCGACCTTTTCGGAACTTTCGACCTGTCTTCAATCAAGCGGATCAACAGCGGAGGCGAAGCTGTTGTTTCCAAGACCGCGAAGGCGTTCGCTGCCACCATGAAGCAGCTCAGCAAGAATCCGTCCGCTGTATCGTTCGAGATCTCTCCTGGGTTCGGAATGACAGAAACTTGGTAAGACTTATGAAACCATATGGGTATACAAAGAAACTGATGGGGATCTGCAGCGCCGGATGCATTTACCATCCCGTGGATGTGCTCACAAGCGAGCCTGCTCATGAATTCCTTGATCTCGGGAGACCCATCGATGGTTGCGAGATGCGTGTCGTTGACCCTGCAGACGGCTCGACCCTGCGCCCCGACGGGGAGAGCGGCGAGCTCCAGGTTCGCGGACCGATGGTCTTCGTACGCTACTACAACAATGCAGAGGCTACGTCCTCCAGCTTCGTCGAGGGCGGCTGGTACCGCACCGGCGACGTCGGCATCATCGAAAATGGGGTCATGCGCCTCAGCGGTCGTATCAAGGACACCGTCATCGTTCATGGTGTTTCGTACGGCATCCCTGAGCTTGAGACCCACCTCCAGACCGTAGAAGGAGTGACTCATTCGTTCCTCGCTGCAGCTCCGTACCGTGCTCCTGGTCAGGAGACAGAAGGGTTCATCATCTTCTACTCGCCAACCTTCGACCTCGATGGAGCAGACGCTTCGTCAAAGCTCTTCGCCACTCATCGGGCCCTTCGGGACATCTGCGTGAAAATGATCACGCTGCCGCCTCAGTTAGTCGTTCCCATCCCTGTGAACCAGATGGAGAAGACCACTCTCGGTAAATTGTCTCGTGCGCGTTTGATCAGTCTCTTCAAGCAAGGCCAGCTCGCGAAGCACATCGCTCGCTCGGAAGAGCTTCTGAGCGAGGCACGTGGCGCTACATTCGTCGCGCCGTCCACGGAGACGGAGAAGGCGCTTGCCAAGATATATGCTGGGATCTTCAACCTCGCGGAAAGCGAGATGTCGGCCAGCGACAACTTCTTCGAACTCGGCGGTACCTCCATTGATGTCATCAGGTCAGTATATACTTCCCGCCCTAAAATGGCTCTCACTAATGCATTTTATCTTCAGGCTTAAGCGCGAGGGAGAGGCACATTTCGACCTTCCTGAAATCCCCACTATCCAGATCCTGAAGCACCCCGTCATCTCGAGCCTCGCCAACTATGTCGACTCCCTGCTCTCCAAGGACAGCCAGACTGAAGAGTACGACCCTATCGTTCCTCTTCAGCTGACCGGAAACAAAACTCCGATCTTCTTCGTTCACCCTGGTGTCGGAGAGGTCCTGATTTTCGTCAACCTTGCCAAATACTTCCAGAACGAGCGTCCCTTCTACGCCCTCCGTGCTCGTGGCTTCGAGCCCGGTCACCCCTTCTTCACCTCTATGGACGAGATGGTGTCGTGCTACGCTGCAGCAGTCAAGAGGACCCAGGCGACTGGGCCATACGCCATCGCGGGCTACAGTTACGGCGGTGTCGTCGCGTTCGAAGTTGCTAAGCGGCTCGAGGCGATGGGCGAAGAAGTCAAATTCGTCGGTCTCATCAACATTCCTCCTCATATCGCGGACCGCATGCACGAGATCGACTGGACGGGCGGCATGCTCAACTTGTCGTACTTCCTCGGTCTCGTGTCGAAGCACGATGCCAATGATCTCGCACCTGCTCTGAGGCCGATGACGAGGAAGGAGCAGCTCGAAGTTGTGTGGAAGCTGTCTCCCCCTGATCGTCTCGTCGAGCTCCAGCTGACTCCTGAGAAGCTCGACCACTGGGTGGACATCGCCGGGTCCCTGATCGAGTGCGGGAAGGACTACAACCCATCAGGCTCAGTTTGTATGTCATTTCTTTTCTCACTTCGTTATCGCTTGCTCATATGCTGTGTCTCTTCAGCTGCCACGGACGTTTTCTACGCTATTCCTCTCCGCGGCAGCAAGTCAGACTGGCTCAACAACCAGCTCAAGCCATGGTCTGGGTTCAGCCGTGGCGAGCCATCATATACCGACGTGCCAGGGCAACACTACACGCTGATGGACTTTGACCACGTCCCGCAGTTCCAGAAGATCTTCCGGGGTCGTCTCGAGGCTCGTGGCCTATAAAATATTTAGAGCGTCGTATTATGTTTATATCTGTCTTTTCGCCAGTATCTATTCGACTATACTCGGAGTACATGTGCTTAATTCGTTAGATTAATTACGTCGTTGTGCATATTGTGTAGTATTATCCTACATAGAGTGGTACTACTTTCAATGGACAAAAAACTTCTTCCATAGCATGCGGTGATGATGGCCCAAAGTGTCCAGCTCCGTACAAAGCCTAGTGATTTACTGATGTACTAATGGCCACGGCGGTGCAGATCAGCCTTTTGGCCAATGACACCATATGGAACGCGATATCAACTACTGGTGCATACTGCAGACAGGAATCCGATCATATGTCTTTGCAATACTTGAGTGTATATTCAACTGCATGCACGAGTCCCGTGAATCATTCAATATTTCAATATGGCCATGCAAGCCTCCAAACGACGGTCATAACTCGACGGAACATTCTCCAGTTGGTCATGATTTCTGTGGTGTCAGTCATGGTGCGTGCTCCGAAGTTCGCAGACACTCCCCCAATGGCGGTGGCAGCAGTGCCTACCTCGAATATAAGTGACCATACAGTGATGCAAGTATAAAGTACAACTAATGGTACAGCAAAAACAACCCATCAAAATTCCAAGACAATATCACCCTCATCCATCATCGAAGCTTTGTTGTGACTTCACTATTTGCAGCTCTCGTCATCAAAAACCCAGTGACCGTATGTGCCACCCTTCTAGAAAATAATCAACAAATCGTGCCAAATTGATGCGACTAAGCAACGAACATTTTGGAAGCAGAATTCTGAGCCCATGAAATGCATCCCGAGGAAGTTTGCAGGAGTGGTAGCACAGAACTCCTTCCAATCAGCTCCCGATGGGAGGTGCTCAAGGTAATGTTCAATACGCTGCATACCGTCAACTTCGCTCACTACATTGTGTCTGAGAAACTCACTCGCTGACCGGATCCAGGAGAAATACAGCCCTGCGACAATGAATAAGTTACAAATATGGCGACGAGAGGGATCAACAAACAAGATTTTTGTACCGGATCCAGTACGACGCGCAATCCGGCTCATGCTGATCGACTTCCCAATGACCTATCACATCGTTTGGACCCTGCACACGCAATATCAGCTGCTTGTATACCAAAAAACACAGGAACACTCACATGGTCCTCGCACCACTTAGGCATGTATTCAACCCCATGAATCTTTACCGGTGTGGTCATGCAAGCCTCCACGCGGCGGTTGTAGTATGACGGAACATTCACAAGTCGGGCAGTGTACTCTCGAGTGGCGTATGTTGTGCACGTGTGGGACGCCAAGTCGGTCCAAAACATATTCAATCTCAAACGTTCTTCTTCTTCGTGCTTCCGTCTCTCCTCCACTTCACGTTCATGCTCTTCCACTTCCCTGCTCCATTTTTCGCGAAGAATAATTCTGTCTTGCTCTTCGCGCCTCCGTAACTCCTCCACTTCTTTCTTGTGTTCTTCCGTTTCTCTTTTCCATTGTTCGTGCATATGACTTTTGTGTTCTTCGTCGCGCTTTAGCCTATCCTCCACTTCACGATTGTGCTTTTCCACCTCCGCTCCCCATTGTTCGCGGAGGTTAATCCTTTCATTATCTTCCACACGCCAGCGCTTTTGGGTGTCGATGCGCTCGAGAACTTCTTTTTGGTGCTGGCGAAGTTCAATGTCCCAGTCCTTGCGAATGCGTTCTCGAACATCTGGATCTAAGGGGTCATTGGAAAGGCTCGTGGAGAAATTGAAAGCCATGATTGCGATAATAAAGAGAACAATAAGTGCCACATAGAGGTAGGGAGATCGATAGCGACGATAAGGCTTGCGAGGCCCTATCAGAGGGTCTGCCTCTGATGAGCTGCAAGGCTTGTCATCACCTATCAAGTATCAACCTGTCAACGAGGCTTACACACCTGGGAGAGTAAGGTGGAGGACTGCGCATTCTCATCAGTATCAATGACAGGAGTATTCGAGAGGCACCTCACTTGTCGTTCCGCCTCGAGCTCATCTTAGGGAATGTTTAGGGAATCGTTGTTGACTGACAATATCACAATACACAGATAACTGTTGAATGTTCAAATGTCCGCTGAAGAATTAACCTCTCCCTCGATAAAAAAGATCTACTGGACTTGACCAGGTGTGAGAATATTCGTTGGATGTTACTGACAATGAGAATTGTGTTTCTGAGCAGATTCCGTCGGAGTCGCGGAGTTGTATCATGATCCGCGACACGAGCCACCATATGAGCACAAGCCACCGTCACCTATCTCACCTAGTACACAGAACAGCTCAAGCGCTCATAGAGCCGTTTCTTAACAGTCTCTATCATTTGATCATCAATCAGATCTCAACCAGGACGTCTGGTGAAATTTGAAACCTGATGCCTCGTAGCAACTCCACAATATATTGCCGTCATCATTTCCGGCATCCTGGTGGTATTATAGCCCAATTTCCGAGGCAAAGCTGCCAGTGAGCCTGAGCTCGAGGTGTACACGAATTTGTTTCGTCTATTTTTGACGGCTGTTCGGTGTCATGCTGATGTATGTGCTGGCGAGACGAGACGAGAGGCTTTTCCATGATCGCACCATGATCATCTTGTGTCAAACAGATGACATAGTACTTGGTTACTGGACTGATGCCACGTGTAGCAAAAACGTTTCGAGAATGGCATCAAAACCAGCCTGAGGGCGACAGCATCAGTTCTTGATGTTGTTTGATCTTATGCGGTGTTCAAGTATTCATTTGTGTAAATGTTTCATGATCAAGTTTTACTATGACACGGTCATCATCCCACGATCTCGTTTGCTGATCTATGCAATGGGTGGTGGTATAACTAGCGCGAATGCCATCGTCTTACCTTCACCAGGTTCGCCTCTCATCCACACCCATTCTCTACCAAAATGACCATCATGGTCTCAAATGATCCCACTTGGTGGCCGACCATCAATGCATATCGTTATTTCAGCTATTTTGTAGGTTCGTGGAGAGTAGTCGGACGTCGAAGTTGACTCGATCTAAACCTTGGCTGCCATTTCACAGTTGCCGCCTTCGTTGGAGTGACGTATGATTGGGGTGAGCATGATAATATGAAAGGACTGCTGATATCTTACAAGTATTTTCAGCACTTACATTAGGACAAGAGGTATGTCGATGCTATGGCCGGAGCAGCTATCTCATTGATAATGGCTTCTATAGGTGGAACTCATCTGGGTGAGTAGAGTCTGGTCACGGTGTCAGAGGAACACGCATGAAAATATACACGATTCCAGAGACAACGTTGGTCGGTAATGACAGCTCTGTATCTCGGTGTATGTAGCTTATTTGTCGCGGTTGCCATGTTGTGCTGACTTGAAAGTATCCTAGGTGCGTTACCTTGGAATCTCATATGCTGCGTATGTTCGGAAGGCTAAATGATCAGTGTTGTGCTAATTGTCTATCTCTTATAATCAGCTTGTACATGCTAAGTATGTCTCCTTATTACATTCACTGTCTTCGCCTCTTCTGACCAACGGCATACAGACTGTGTTCCGACCATCTGGCTGACAGATACAGTGAGTCTTCTGCACAGATGCCTACTACTATTCCCCTGCAATTAACGTGAAGCCCTGTAGCAGTGAGTGTGGTTCTTTACTAAATGACTGCCACACTATACTGCCACAGATGTGAGTCTATTTGGAGTATGTGCTACCCGAGGCTGGTCACTGACTGGATTTGTTAGGCTTGATTACGTCCATCGTACATTATTGGACGTTCATTGTGGTATTTGCGATGCTGTGGGGTGAGCTTAGCACTTACGAGATCTCAGTGATATTGACTTAACTAAAACACTCTGCAAGTCATCATCATCATTCGGTTGCATGCCATGTATCAACGATCCAGAAAGATCCTGATATTTCTTATTGTCACCTTCCTGGCTGTCAACATTTTCAGTGGAGTGGTCACCTTGCTGATGACGATAGATGCTTCTGCGGGTACGTTCAATTATGGGTGAAAACAAACATGCATGGAGCTCATTAATGAATACCAGAGCAATTCATTCTCTCTGGCACCTATGAATGTTGGATTGGCTTTACGGAAGATTTCATACTTTTGGAGTCCATTATTTGGATACTCGTCACCGTGTGGGAGGTCCTCGCATTATGTCTCGCAGTCTGGATTGCGGTAAAACACTTCCGTGAACTTCGACGACATTCGACAGGAGGGATTATGGGGGACTGTTTTACGATATTGATGACAACTCACATGCTTTACTTTGCGAGGTAAGTCCATACTGTGATTATTATTCCTTTTTCCGCTGAAGGGTCGGTCCTGGCAGTTTTGTTGTTGTTTCTTGCTGCGAGCTCATTCTTGATTTCTCTCCAATACTCTCAACGGTATGTCAGTCTTTAACTTTTGCACGCTACCATAATTTACCGTTCCTATAGTATAACTCCCTGAACGCCAACATTATTTCTGGGTTTATTCAGATTTCGGAGATCGTGCAGATGTTTGTGCTGGGACCACGCCTGATCCTTGGCATTCGGGAATACCACGCTAAACTCGTTGCCGATGCTGACGCAGCGACTGGTATGACCTCAATCGCTTTCCAGGAGCATGTGTATATATCGACTGGCAGTGATGTGTGATACTTGGTGAAGTTAACTGTTCTGTAAGGAGTAGGGGAATTTGTTTCTATTTATTAGCCCTCTTATGATCGAAGTATTCAATGTTCTGAAGTAGATTTCAAGGAGACGTACAAAGCTTTCGTCATATTATTTAGTCAAGTGATTTAACATACGTGCTGACAATGTTTAAATCGATATCCTGAATATCTCTATTAGATATCTCATAGCATGAGCCTGTACAACTTCAAAGCTTCCTGGAGTCGTAATGGCAAGGCCCATCCCGGGGTGTTCTTTTCTCCCGGTCCCTCAGTGGTGGTGGCAGCAGTGCCTATCCTTCACGCTCTCGTAAATACTCAAATTCGTGAATACTAGTGATCAAAAAAAAATACAGTGATGCAAAGCACAAAGTATATCGAATGGTACAGCAAAAATAGTCCAAGCATCGTTCAACATCGAAGCGCCATTACTACTTGCAATTATCGTCATCAAAAACCCAGTGACCGTATGTACCACCATTCTAGAAAATAATTAACAAATCGTGCCAAATTGATGCGACTAAGCAGCGAACCCATTGAAAGCAGATTTCTGACCCCATGAAATGCATCCCGTTGAAGCTTGCAGGAGTGGTAGCACAGAACTCCTTCCAATCAGCTCCCGACGGGAGGTTCTCGAGGTAATGTTCAATCCGCTGTATACCGTCAACTTCGCTCACTATCTCATGTCTGAGAAACTTACTCGCTGGCCGGATCCAGGTGAAACACAACCCTGCGGCAGTCAATAAGTTTTGCAAATATGCTGACGAGAAGGATCGACAAACAAAATCTTTGTACCAGTTCCAGTACGACGTGCAATCTGGCTCATGCTGATCGACTTCCCAATGACCTACTACATTGTTTGGACCCTGAACTCGGAATATCAGCTGCTTGTACTACCAAGAAATGCAGGAAGACTCACATGGTCCTCACACCACTTAGGTGTGTATTCAACCCCATGGATCTTTACTGGTGTGGCCATGCAAGCCTCCACGCGGCGGTTGTAGTATGACGGAACATTCACAAGTCGGGCAGTGTACTCCCGAGTGGCGTATGTTGTGCACGTGTGGGAAGCCAAGTCGGTCCAAAACATATTCAACCTCAAGCGTTCTTCTTCTTCGTGCTTTCGTCTCTCCTCCAACTCACGCTTATGTTCTTCTACTTCCGTTCGCCATTGTTCGCGGGAACGAATCCTGTCATTATCTTCCAGAAGCCAACATTTTTTGATGTCAATGCGCTTGAGAACTTCTTCCTCGTGCCGGCGAAGTTCAATGTTCCATTCCTTGCGAATGCGTTCTCGAACATCCGGATCTAAGGGGTCCTTGGAAAGGCTGATACAGAGATTGACAATCGTGAATGCAATAATACAGAAAGCGATAGCGATGAGTGCTGCAAAGACACAGGAAGATTGATAGCGACGATAAGGCTTGCGAGGCCCTATCAGAGGGTCTGCCTCTGATGAGCTGCAAGGCTTGTCATCACCTATCAAGTATCAACCTGTCAACGAGGCTTACACACCTGGGAGAGTAAGGTGGAGGACTGCGCATTCTCATTAGCATCAATGGCAGGAGTATTCGAGAGGTACCTCACTTGTCGTACCGCCTCGAGCTCATCTTAGGGAATATTTAGGGAAATAGTTGTTGACTGACAATATCACAATACACAGATCACTGTTAAACGTTGAATGTTCAAATGTCCGCTGAAGAATTACCGTTTACAAAGCTCTGCCCCGATAATAAGACCGGACTTGACCAGGTGTGAGGATATTCGTTGGACCCGAGTCCGATAGTGAGCGCTGAGCCTTGAGGATTCCAGGTGTTTTCTGATTCCGTCGGAGTCGTGGAGTTATACATATCATGTGACTTACACGAGCCACCAATCGTCTGGACTCGAGCTCACCTTTATCGATTATTCGTACCAAATTCATACCTATTTCCCTTATCTCACGTAGTAAGACATCACCAAAACATGCATCGTCTCTTAAGTTAACTTCTTATCCTCGTTGAATATTGAATTCTTGCTGAACGTAGATGAACCTCTCCTAATGGGACAAGCTGGTCAAGACGTGAAGGACTTCCCTCGTGAGCCTTGATGAGGAATGATAAACATTCACCAGACTCACAGGAACTATTGTGGACGAAAACACGTTGGCGGTGTGGTTCTATCTAACCTGAATGTGCTTGACCTAAGAACAATAGATCCAGTGGAAGTCGCGGCATTGATATCAAATGCCACTGTTCTGAACTTGCTGTGTGATACAGCATGTTTCCTCGAGCATGCTATGTGACAATTTTTAGACTCTAAATCTGAAAGTCCACACGAAATGCGCAAGCGGTCGGATCTAGTAAGCACTGAGCCGTAAGCATCCTCGCGTGAAGTCTCTAAACTAACCAGAACCTTGCGTCAAGACCATGTGCCCGTTGAGCTGATCGTTAATTAGCTTCAGTAGTATTACAAGCCTTGTAGTGCAGTCCAGCAGTCAATACTGGTGCTTGGAATCACTCTACAAACCTACATACATCCCTGTCGACAATTATCTTTGTGTACAAAAAGCATGGCAAGCGAACCCTAAGTTATTGCCGGAAATCATCGAATAACGCACGAAAAGCAAAAGCAAAATAAAAGACCTCACAATCACTCCCACCGTCCCACGAGCTCCCCAAAATCTAAACCCACCCACGAGTTTCTGTCACCAGCACCAAGCGTCGGTATCATCCGCGGAGTATCTCTGACATCCCCTAGCCCCAAACTTGGCATGGAGCGCGGACTGCCAACATCTACAGTTGGGATGACTCGCGGGCTTTGGCTGAGACGTATGCTCGTCTTGCTACTGGATCTTGAGCGCGCGAAATCTCTGCTGGATTGCGAGAGATCCCGTGTTTGTGTGAGCGACCGTGACAAGTCCCGCACAATCACTCCCCGAGACGAGTGTGAAGATGAAGACGAAGACGAAGATGAGGCACGTCGGTGCCGCATGCGTTGCGTAGGATCAACATTTGGAAGGTTGGCGATACGTGCGAAAAAAGAAAGAACTACATGATTAGGCATTAGGGATGATCGAGATATTCGAGGAACAAAATACACACTGTCAACAACGCTAACAACTCCGCACAGTCCGCCGCCCATGGGCGAGCCTGGAGATGAACTGGGCTCGAAATCCGGGTCAATTACGAAGAGTCGGTGCGAATTGGCTGATCAAGTCATCAGTCTATCCCATGTTGTGACTCGGAGAAAAGTGACGCACTCGCAAGCAGTTTCTGAATTGTATATGAGAGTGTGCTGGTGGGGAGGACGACATACACTGTGTGGCATGCATCAGTTAAACTACTCTAATACTGAAACGAGTATCCGCAAAGCACATGAGGAGGCGTTGTTGTGGAATCACAAACACAAGCAAAGAGAGACACGAACCAGGATACCGGTCTGCTCCATCCGTGCTTCCACTTGGCTCCTTGATCTGCGCGACGAACTGGTGTAGAGGCGCGGAGAGAATGTGGTTGGACTCCGAAGGAACGACGAGCTGTATGTATATTGTGATAATGCATACAGATTGAAGCCAGATGCGGTTCGTGAAAAGAGAGAGAAATTTTGATCAAACTCCGCACTGCGGCGATAGCAAGGGGAAACACACCTTCCCGATATCAGTAACACTCACTGCTCCAGTCAGCCCACCCCAGGACCCGTATCCAGCTCCGTATCCTCCCCCGCCATCATCGACAACAGCTACGCTACTCACACCACCGTCGCTCATCAGGCGCATCGCGTCAAGCACTGTAGATGAGCTGGTAGCAGCTATGACAGACGTGTACATTTGAAGCGACGGGAGAGCAAGTAAGTATAGGGGGCACGAGAGGAGCCTTGCAAATGTGAGAGTGGAAGGAGGCTGGGGTTGGGGTTGGAGCGGAGCAGTGGGGCGGGAAGCTGTTAAGGCTGATACAGGTTTGGGAGACTGAGAAGGCTGGGAAATCTGGATGGAGGATTGCACTGAAGCTGGCGGCCGAGGAGAATGCGGGTGCTGCATGGGAGAGTGAATGTGTGCAGCAGTGTCCGATTGCATGGCAAAATTGGCGAAGTACGCCAGCACGGCACGGTCGGAGACTGCACCGAGGTAGGTAGTCCGTGTTCTTGTCGCCTCCGGAGCAGTATGAGACTCTGCGGGAGCGGTGGGTGGGGCGGCTTCGACAAGCACTACATAATACAGAACAAAATGCAACGCGCAGAGATAGGTGTTAGCAAAAGAAACAAATAGGCGGACGGGGACGCTTACCCCTATGCGTCCCCTTCGCAAACACTCCAAGGAGCGAAATAAGGCTGGCATCGTTCGGAAGGGTCTCTAGGTAATTCTTTTCTGAGAGGTCTGCGTGTGAAGGTGTATCAATATGAGCGTAGAGGAGGAAGATACAAGAGATACGAAGTCACAACATCCGTGGCGTAGGATAAGATAAACAAGACATAAAACACGCCATCGACGTAGAGAATAATGTTCAACACATACTGCTAACAAGGTGCACAGGTACACGTCCTTCTTGTGCAGCACTCATGATCTGATCGGCGCGCGAGTTAGCACGAAGCTCTGCGAGTGAGATGGTGTGTCTTGTCGCGGCGAGCGTGAGGAATGCGTTCACATCTGAAAACTACATGCACATCGTCCAAGTTGTGTCATAGCATATCATGGCGATAATCCCGACAGAATGGAGGGGTATGTGAGTCAGATTGGACGAGCGCGAAATAAAAGAATAACGCACGTCAAAAAGTCCAAGATAAGATGCACCTGTGCGAGTCGAATCTGGAAGTGTGCGGACAGCGAGACACGGGATTTCTTCTTGCAGAAGGAGCTAGAGAAAGAGTCAGCGCTAGTGCACTTACTAAGTCCAACATTGAACTCACATCGCATGCGTCCTCGACGGACATGTCTGCGTCTACTTCAACTACGCGCACATCGATCAGATCTGCACGATTGTATGTTAGTATCAAGGTCCGGAATTGAATTCAGAGCAGATATGGAACGAGTTGTTATAGACCTAGACGCACCCTTAGCCAATACATGTGCCCACTGCGAGACCCACTTCTCTACCTCTGCAGTAGGGACATCGGCAACTGTTGGGCTTTGTCCACGGGTTGGTCTTGGAAGAGATGCTCCCCGCTGTGCCATAGTATGTACTACTTATTTCGACTGGTTCCAAGAGATAACGAGTCTCAAAATACGCGTTGAATGTTTCAGTGACAGTTAGATGGAGTCAAGCGCTAGATACGATGGAAGGTGATAAGAAGTTGTTTAAGAAACCGGGACGGCTGATGTAGTGCATGATTTGGATATAACTGCACGCCGCTCCTCTTATTACGTCGTACTACAGCCGCCCGGCCTTTCCCTTTCCAACACACCAAGCCTAACGCCACACTTAAAACTCCGAGTCTCACACGGCTCCCCAGGCCAGCTAACTTATCTCATATCTCTATCAACGAATTCGATAGCGGAAACGTCATTATCAGGATGTTGGAAGCGATGGGTGGATACGTCACAAGTCAATGGGTGGTCTCATGTCGGAACACTCAGGCAGGTTTCAAACACCCCCTTAAGAGGCTATGCACTGAACGTTCCATTACAGGTCTAAGGAACGCGAATCAAGTCCTGCTAGGAGTGACGTCAGCGGACTCGTGGACTAATGAGCGATCTAACCTGAGACAAGACTCCCTAAGATGGCATGAGCGGGTGAGTTCCCACAGCTTCCTGAATTATATGTATACGCAATGATATACTATGTACTGAATATGATTGCGTTGTGCTCGTTAACAGTGAACCCTACTATCTTATGCAATCTGGGATAACGAGTGTGCAAATATGAGTCATATTGCAGAACACGAGAGCTCACAGTTTTCCTCGTGGTGCAGGAATCACAACACCCGGACACTCGTATTGAATCCAGGGACCAATGCCGGTAAGAATCTCTTCATGTTGCAAAGGATAGATCCAAATAATAGTTATCGCCAAGCTTCTTTACGGTGATCTTTATGTTGGTGGGATGCTCTTGAGCAGCCCACTGAAAGTCTGTCATTTTGCTGTTCGAAACAAGGGCAGACTTTAACAGCAATGTGTCATTCCGATACCTGAAATATTACCCGTATCTCGACGACGGGGCAATCGCACATGGAGACTCCCGGCATTCTTAATATGCACTCACGTCATGGGTACGCAGGATTGTCAGCCACGTGCATTGTGCTCTTTGGCAGTTCTGACCTTGGCCATCTTTCCAAAAAACCAAATTTGTCTCATGTAAATTTAACATCGACCTCCAGGATGGGATGGTTTCATTCGTTTTTGGCAAGAACGGCAAGAGTGACGACACTATAGGTTATCGTTATCTTAAGCAATCTGAGGCCAACATCAGGAGCAAGTAAGTATACATTTACTTATAGCGGTTACAGATAAAGATAAATTCGCAAGACACTATCCCTTCTTTACATGGCTCACAGTTTTGCTCTCGGTAAGGGAATTTCATCCATGATAGCACGCGGAAGCTCATATTGAATCCAGTGACCAATTCCTGTAAGAACTTTGGAATTCACGTTCTCCATGTCAAGAGGGACGTAATCCAAAAAAGCGTTGAATTTTGGATCTGATATCAGTACGGTGATCTTAACGTTGGGTGGAATGTTCTTGAGCAACCCAGTGAAAGACCACGGCGTGTTTTGCTGTTCGAGAAAAGGACAGAAACTATCAGTAACGCCTACCATCTCAAAAACTGAAATATTACCCGAAGTATCTCGATAGCAGTGCGATCGTACATGGCCATCCCCAGCACTCTTAATATGCAGTCACGTCGCGACCAAGCAGGATTTTCAGCCATATGCTCTTCGGGGGTTCTGATTCTTGACATCTCGTTTAAAACTAATTGCGTGTTGATTTTCATTTTCTCCTCTGTAAGCTCGAGGGCAGGATCGAGAAGTATGACAGTGGTTTCTTGCGTCTTGGGCAAGAATGGCAAGAGCGACAAGGCCACTGGGCCTCCAAGAGAATGACCGATGATTACGTCGTAAGATGTGCCCATGGCGAAATACGATCGGAGGTCCTCTGCAATATCGGAAATACGATAGTCGGTGCCCTGTCTCCATGCATGCCCGAGGAGATTTGGAGCAACGACGAAAAACCCTGATCAACCTGTTAAAAATGGCTCACTTTATAATATAGAAAACCTGACCATCTGCTACCAATAGCTGAGCGATGCCCTCCCATGATTGCGAGGACATGGTCAGGCCATGAATGAGAAGAGCCCGCCTAGAAGCGGTAGGAGAACCCCACTGAGACGCTGAAATGGTCATGTCCACACTGAGATGACTTGGATGTCTTTAGGACTTGTCAGCAGAGAAGATCGAAGAGGATTGGCGGTCGCTCTGCACTTAAAAAGCTGACAGAGCCCACGGTAAACAGCAGTGAGAAAAAACCGGCGAGGTTGACGTGTCTGTTTAAATGCGAGAGTAGTGGATCAGGACATACCATTGAAACGGTGACTTTGCACATATGGCAGGTCCGGCCCATCCGTAAATTCCTAGTCTATTTAGGGCGGAGAGAACCTAACTTGCGGGTGCGACTAGGTGAGGGAATGGGGTCATGTTTTGAAATCGCTGCGAAACTACATTACACAAACAACAGAGTCTGAAGAAGAATATCAATAGCGACCGTATCAACTGAACGTAGGCGAAGACTACACCACAAAAAATATATCTTTGCAAGTACTTGACTCATAGTTTTGCTCTTCGTAGCGGAATTTCATTCATGATGATATTCAAACTCTCGTATTGAATCCAGTGACCAATTCCGATAAAAACTTTGGCACGCAATCTCGCCACGTCACACGGGACGTGCTCCAAATGACAAATAGCACCGAGCGCCGGATCTGATGCCAGCACAGTGATATTCACCTGGGGTGAAACGTTTTTGAACAGGCCACTAAAAGACCATGGCCTGTTATGCTATTCACAGCAGAAGTCAGCAATGTTTCCTATTTCGATGCTAGAACTATTACCTCAAATATCCTCTTGACAACAGTATGATCACACATGGAGATTCCCAGCGCTCTTAACATGCTGTCACCTCGAGACCAAACAGGGTTCTCAGCCATGTGGTCGTCAGCGGTTCTGAGATTGGCAATCTCCTTCAGAAACCAGTTTTCACACTTGTCGGCTATCTCCTTCGTGAGCTCGAGGGCAGGATCGAGGAGTATAACAGTTGTTTCTTTTGTGTTGGACAGGAGTGGCAAGAGCGATAAGGTCACCGCGCCCCCAAGAGAATGACCTATAATCACATCGTAGGACGTGTCCATGACAAAATACGGTCGGAGGTCCTCAGCAAGGGTGGACACACGATAGTCGGTGTCGGTGCCTCGTCTCCATGCATGCCCAAGGAGATTCGGCGCGACAACAAAGAACCCTGGCTAGCCGTTAAGATAGAGTATCATCACCTAACATTGCAAGACCTGACCTTCTGTTGCTAATAGCTGAGCAACGCCCTCCCATGATTGTGAGGACATAGTCAACCCATGAATGAGCAGAACCCGCCTGGAAGCGGTAGGGGAACCCCACTGAGATGCCGAAATGGACGTGTACATATATACTCGGATGGCTTGAACGTTTTCAGATATCTTTGCGAGCGGTACAGCTGGTGGGACGTGCTTGAAGAGGTCAGGAACTTGGTCTTCGCTTCAATACTGACGATGTGACTAAAACGAGAGCAGGAAAAGTGTATAAAATGAGTGATCATCCTGCAGAGGGCCAAGGCGTACCCTGACAAGTCACGGTCTTGTGACTCTGAGGAACTGAATGGTAATTGATATGCCTACCCTTCTGCGAAGAGACCGTTACTGGCTGGGAGAGCTGTCCTTTGGAGGTAGTAGCCCTGCCATTTGGACGTGTTCATCATGCTGCAAAACTATATCGATGTCTTCTCGCTCAACTTATCAACCAAGGCGGATTAACACTTACTCATCGTGCAGGGGACATTGAACCGGGCAATCGTAATATTTGTTAATTGCTTAGAGAGTTGACTAAGGCTGGCGTGAGATCAGATGGGGCAGCAGCAGCCTTCAAGAGCTTCAAATCATGCCACATATGAGCATTGAAATATTGACGTGACGCGTGACCAAATCGGCCACTATTTTTAAATCTCCGTCATGATCTCAATGTCACGAGAATTGAATGTTTGAACAACTAACACTCAAAGATCAAATCGTCTCAGGTGTCACTTGTGCACTGTATAGTAAATACTCGGTTTTGTACTGGCGTCTGGATATAATAACTCACTCGCTTCTCTATTGATCATGGTGATGAGGTACCAGACCTCGAACCCCCTACTCCCGAGCTAGTCGCCACTCCTCAAAGACAGGAAATTGGATGCAGTTACGCACGCCTTGAAACAGTCACAGACAGTATCAGCAATCTTCACCAACAACTCGTCGAACAAAAGACTATAAGGATCATCTAGTCCAGAATTTTGCACAGCACTCCTGACATTGGCAGTTGGGGCTGTAATCATGATAGTGCTCACGAGTAATATCTGATGTGGTCATGTCCAGGCCGCCAAAAGAAGTCCGGCGGCAGGTCCTCGTCACCGCGGCTAGGTGTATGCCACCAGATTGCACAGGAATACACTGCCAGAGAATGGTTGATCGAGATGTATGGAGCTTGCCATTGTATGTTTCGTTGTCGACATCCGAGTCCATTTCTTCGGGGTTGTACACACCATACGAACCTGACTAACTATGTGGGTCGAGCAGGGAGTGCTGCGTCTTGAACATTGAAACATTGACACAACGTGGCCCGAACTTCCGATTTCGGTGGCAGGTCCATGTCTTATCTGCACCTTGGCGTTTATACGGTACCGTAAGTACTGCCATAGGGCTAGTGCGACTGACTATGTATAGAGACCGCCACCAATAAAACGATAGGGTTCCTGCATCCAGCTTGAGATAATCAAGATATGGAACTCGATCGAAGTATACAGCATCATGGAGGCTCCAAAACCGATGCTGAGTTTTATAGATATATACCCAAAAATTGCTGTCTCCTTTGGACATAACGACTTCTCGAGATCCTCTTACAAACTGCAATGCAAATAATATCCCTCCATCCTCCAACAGTCCACCAACCAAGTCGGCCTATCCCGATCCATGGATCTGATGTTCAGAAAGTCATATGGTCTTCCGATGGACGTCTGAAGCTCAGGCCCATGCCTGCCGAAGGAGTACAAGCACAGAGATATAAACCAGGCAACATCATGTAGGTCGGCGCTGGAGATCATCGACCATGTCCGACTGACCACTGACACACAGTCAGAGAGACATCGGGAACTTCAACATCCCACACATGACGATAGATCCTATCGAGTAACACATTTTCACTTTGCCACTTTCGTATCTCATGCATACATTTTAGGGTATCGGCTCCTCCTGGATGGCAAGCCTACATTCATCCTGAAGGCCGTCTCTATTACTGTTATGAGAGCGTGGTGACTTTTGACGGATGTTCAAGGAAAATTCACGTTATAACGCAGGCGGATCTCGCTCGCGACGGAGTTGCTGAGACAATCGAGGACCTTGCAAAGCTTGCTTATAGTCATGCTTGTCACTATTCTTCTTTCCCGGCGAATGTAGACCTTGTGTTGGAACCTAAGGATGTCGGAGAAACCATCATAGGAGAGTATTATTTCGTGCACCATAAGAACAGGTGCCTGTTCTGGTTGCTGGAGTTCGATGCCGTCGACATCCTGCGCGAATGCAGTGGGGTCACTGAACTTGCTCATAAGAGTCAGTTTTGTGGACCTGTGCTTAACCGTGTCTGACGAACGCTTGCAGAAATCGAGTTGGAGGCTCAGTACTGGTACGCACTAAAGCAGTTTGTGAGTACATTCAATGTATGCTTCATTGCCAGAATGCATTGTACTGACTGCATCAGTCGAGGCATGGTGACTGCTCACGCAAGTAGGAAGCATATCGACCTGTTTCCGCACGCAAGTGCTCTCCACTCTGAGGTCCTTCGACAATTGCAGCAGATCATTCGTTTTGCGATAAGCGGTGAGCTCTTTACCATCGGGACATCATAAGAGAACTCAATTCGTTCCAGATTGCATGACTTCGGAAGTGTCGGCAGTCTGTGCTTTCAGCATGGATGTCCTGAAGAACACTCTGGACCTCATCAAAGATGTAGATGGTAAGTCACGCCAACTCCCGAAATCGTAAAACTCATCGCGTGCCAAGTGGAGGACAATTGGATTCAGTCTGCACATGACAAATGTCTCGTCGGTAAGCAGTCGTGTTTCGCGCGCAGTAAATCGACATTCATGACAACGTAACTATTAGCGAGGACGATGAACCATTTTAGTACGTGACCTAATTCTGGTTCAAGATATCCTCCAATTCCCTGCACCAGGACATTGTCAATACCTCAACTACCATGGGCAGCGAGGCGCGCGGCTCTCCCGAGACCAGACTGTACACGGCGACTCCTACGAAAAGCGGTCCGTTATGATGAAATGTCTTGCACCCTTGCTCTTCAATGCTCCTTATGAGCACGTCCACTCTCTTCACAAACTCTACGTCGACTCCATAGTTCATCAGCTCGACTGGCGCACCTTCGTTCAAAAGCTGAACGCCGAGATGCAGGACTTCAATCTGCTCGTAACTCATTCCCGTTAAGTTTGCGATATGCGGATCATGCTGACACATCGATGGTCAGGCGACAGTGCTCTTGAGTGTCAATGTTGGTTTTTTGGCGATTCAGAGCGTAGATAACGGTGGAGGACATTCTTTATCGCAGATTGCGAGCTACGTTTCTGTGATCTCAAGTTTTGGGTGCATGCTGCTTGGTGTGAATATCGCGAGACAAAGCTACACTCAAGGTCCAGATATGGTCGATAATGTGGTGCGTCTTGTTACAACTCGCGTAGTGGTAATCTCCAATGAATGTATTCGATTAGCAAGCACACCTGCAGAGCATGGTGCACCCCAAGCACGGTCTCGAGACGCTTGCAATCATATACAGCCTACCGTATGCTTTACTCATGTGGGGGTACGTTTGACTCTCCTCTATCAGTGTCAAGTTATTCACTACAGCTGATAGGATGATATTTTTCGTGATTGCATTTTTAACTGAATGTTTTCATAACTCGACTGTGGTACCCTCGGTCCCTGTGGGTGTGACGGCGCTCATTGTGCTGGTGCTTGTCGGGTGGTCTTCAAGTTGTCACAGGTTGGGAGACCCAAATCTCAGGGCGGGGTGTGGGTACTTGTCTGAAAGTGTGCTTGCGACAGGAAAGTGGGTCAAGGATCTACCCAGGCAGATTCCGGCAGTGTTGCGCTCATGCGCCTTGGTAAGCGAAAAGAATCAGCTGGGTCCGGAGTTGGGTCTTTGAGCTTAGGTGGGAAATTATAAAAACCCCGCTGTCGGACATTAATGTTACTGTACTCGACGAACTTGAATAATTCTGAATGCAATGATATCTCGGGAATTTAGAATCTTGTTTTGGGTGCTATGTATTCACCTAGCTGGGATTTATCTATTCACAAAGGGATTCCTCCTCAATCGACTCGCACTCCCCGACAGAAGTGTAGATGCTTGCACTTCACTCGCTACCCACAAAAGGGCTGTCCTGCTCGTCATAGACGCCCTACGCTTTGATTTCATCGCGGAACACCCGCCAGAACCTGCTTCACCTTTCCATCACAACATTCTAACTCTACCACGCGAATTGACCGCCGCTCATCCCGACAGATCATTCATATTTAACGCGCACTCTGACCCGCCGACCACGACTCTTCAGCGACTCAAAGGCATCACCACAGGGTCTCTACCCACCTTTGTAGATGCAGGAGAAAACTTTGGAGGCTCTTCCATCCATGAGGATTCTATCATCCATCAGCTAAATGCTGCGGGCAGAAAGGTATGTGCTGACTTCTTTTTCCCTCCGTTTCCCTGATACAATCCAAAGGAAAGATCGCTTTCGCCGGCGATGACACTTGGCTCGCCCTTTTCCCAGATGGTTTTCAGCCAAACATGACCTTTGCCTTTGACTCCTTCAACGTCGAAGACCTTCACACCGTAGACCAGGGCGTCATCGACAATCTTTTACCCTTGATGCGACATCATAAAAACTCATGGCATTTTGCCATTGGTCACGGTTTAGGGGTCGACCATGCAGGTCACAGAGTCGGTCCAGATCATCCCGTCCTCAGAGAAAAACTTGAGCAGATGAACACTCTTTTACGCGATGTCGTTGCAGCCATGGATGACGACACCCTCCTCATAATGCTTGGGGATCATGGAATGGACAAGATGGGTAACCACGGCGGTGACAACATCCTAGAGACAATGTCAGCTCTCTGGATCTATAGCAAGGTCCCTCTTTCCCTCCCGGAACACACAATTCCAGAGGCCATTCTACCGGTGATCACATTCCCAGACACTCCGGTCCCCCATCGCCATGTCCAGCAGATAGACTTGGTGCCAACTATCTCCTTGCTCCTCGGTCTTCCCATCCCATTCAATAACCTCGGAACCGTCATTCCAGAACTTTTCAATCGCGATTCCGATGGTTCATCTTTGCAGAAAGCCATGG